TCCTTCCCTTCAAGGCTCAGGGGTCCAGGATTATCTTCTGTGTCTATGTTAATTGGTTTCCCTTTTCTTTGTTGAAGAGGGTCTGTGCAGTCTTTTTGCCTAGTCCGCCATCATGGATTCACCTCTCATTCAGTTTTTAAAATCTAAGATACTTGCAAATTCTCAAGAATATTTTTACTTATACTGTTAGAAAAGTACAATAACCTGTATCTTGATAAGTAATGCCTTACAAATAAAAAATATATTAAATTAGCTTTAAATGCACCCTTCCCAAGTAATTAGTATGTATTTTTATATCAAGTTCACTTATGCTTAAGAATAAAAGTATATTACTCTGAATGAAATATGGAATAAAATCTCTCATTCATGCAATATACAGGGATAATATTCAAGTTGAAGGGGAAAAAATCCCATTCTTGTTTTGTAAAGGTATCCATATATCATCATCCACATGATAGATGAGGAAACCCATGATGTGAGATATAAATTTTCAGCTCAGCAAAAGCACCTGATATCCACTACTAATTTTTAATTAAATGTCATCTCAGTAAAACCAAATGAACCTTACAAGTTTAGGATTTCTTTTTGAGGTGATGAAAATATTCTAATTGACTGTGGTAATGATTACACATATATGTGAATATACTAAGAAGCATTCAATCAAACAATTTAAATGGCTGAATTATATGATATGTGAATTATATCTCAATTAAGGCTGTTAAAAAAAAAAGAAAGAATTTTCAGATTGGGAAATTTCTATTGTTCTATCTTAAATTCATTGATTCTTTCCTCTGCTCCCTCATTCTGCTGTTGAACAAATCCATTGAGATTTGGATTGCAATTATTGTATTTTTTCAGTTCTAAAACTTTCCATATGGTTCATTTTTGTATCTTTTACTTCTTTGCTGAGGTTTTCTATTTCCTTCATTTATTTCAAACATGTTTGTTACTTCCCATTAAAGCATTTTCATCATGGCTAATTAAAAATCTTTGCCAGATAATGCTAACATTTCTGTCATCTCAGTGTTGGCATCTATTACTTATCTTTTTTCATTCAGTTGGAGATCTTCCTGTTTCTTGACAAGTGATTTTCAACCAAAGCTTGAAAATATGGAGGATTATGCTATGCTGTTACTTAAACGTTCTATTTTAGCTGGTTTCTTTGGACATCACTCCACAGGGGCAGTTGTGGTGGTGGTGGGGTTACTATCAGATAGGATTAAAAATCTAACTTCCTCACTTGACCTCCAGTGACATCTGAGGGAGAGGACTCCTCAGTACTGCTAAGCAGGTGTGAGAGTTCTGACTTTCCACTAAGTATCCATTGATACCTCCTTGGTTAGAGGGTATAAGTGCCTCTTTACTGTTCCCCACGTAACCTCCACTTATATCCCATGGAGTGTGTGTCCTTGTTATTGCTGGGTGGTATAGGAAGTCCTAATTCTCATCAAGGGCTTCTCTGTCATCACCTCAGCATGGAGTGCAAGGGTTGCCTCACTACCACCAGTTGGCGGTGAAAGTCTAGGCTCCTAACTCAGTCTTGGCTGGTGTGGATGTAGTGGGGCCATAGGTTTGTTTTGCAGTGTTTGGTTGTAGCAGAGTGGTTGTTATCTAAAAATGTTCTGTCTTGTTAGGCACCTTCTTTCTTGGTCTACTGACTGGAGAAAGCAAGCTTTCGCTAGAGCTTTATTTGTCTGAGCTTGTTGGTGTTTCTGGGTTGCTGGCCTCTTCGACTCCAAGTCTGTGACATATGAGGTAAGAAGAAAACTCAGGGAACTTACTGTGTTAATCCTTTGGTCCCAAGGTTCTAGCCAGTCTTCCTTTTTCTGTCTACCTTCCAGAGTCTTCTTACATTTATATGTAATGCCCAGGTTATATATACAGGTATTTTAATTGAGAGTAATAGGGAGAAAAAAGTGTCTACTCCATCTTCCTGGAAGCAGAATTTCTTACTCTCTGGTTTTAACAGTCACATACCTCCTTTATAACTACTTGGTCTATTTATTTAATCACAGAAGTTGGAAAGAAACTTAAACTGACTGGTTTCATTATAAGAGGTGATGTGAAAAAATATGAAGCTCTGTGCCCAACACCCTCATTTAAAGCATTGATGAGCTATCTGTGCATAGCTACAGGCAGAATATTCCCATCCCTTCAGTATCAAAGTGGCTTGTTGTTGTTGTTGTTATGTGCTGTCGAGTTGGACCCAACTCATAGCGACCCCTCCTTGGGTTTCTGAGGCGGTATCACTACAGAAGTAGATTGCCCCACCTTCCTTCCAAGGAGTTCAAACCCACCAGCCTTCTGGTTAGCAGTAAAGTGTCTTAGTCACTACACTACCAGAGCTCCATCAAAGTGGCTTATCAGATATAAATTGCTCATCTCTGAAGACTATATCTAAAGAACAAAGCAGAACATTCTGCAGGATTCAAAGTGCATAAGTATCTCACCTTCACTGTCACAGCACTCTAGAATTGAAGGGTCTTCCCGAATCACCGCAGTCAGAGCATTGACATCTCCATTAGATGCAGCCTGATAAACCATGGTCAGGTCAACTTCCTCAGATGAGTCACCTTCATGAATCAAACAGAGAAACACTGAATAGGGTGTGTGGATTGAGTTCACTGAAAGAATAATTACACCCAAACCATCACCCACACAAATGATTCATTAAAACCTCTTGGATGAATCCAGGCAGAAGCTGAGTCATCCTAGTCATGTGCATTCTCACCACTTCTGAAGACAAATGGACCACTGTGGGCCATGTTATTACACCACATTTAATTGGGAAGGAGCCTGAAGGGATTATATGCCCTCTGAGATTTTATAATTCTCTCCAGCATTCAGATTACTCAAAACCATTGAGAACATAATGAAAAATGGGGTCTTCATCTTGGTCTGGGTTTTCCTTTATGACCTGAAATAGATTACTTTTCCTTTCAATGACTCAGTTTCCACATTTGGAAGATTCATTGTGCTCCTTATTTTCTGTCCACCAGATGCACTCTCTACCCTTCTTTAACCTGCTTTGTGTCCTGGGGGCTGATCCTTGCTGACAGCTTCAGCCAGCCTCCCTGGCCTTCTGGCTTGCCAATGGGAGACAATGGCAGGAGGTGAGAGGGGAGATAAGAATTTAGTGTCTAGAGTAGCTGTTTCTCTTCTATCAGGAGGCTTCTCTCCCCTAGAACCAACTTTAACTCGGTTCTTTCTGGTAACACTATTCCTTCCGTGCTTCTTCAGCCCTTTGGGTGGCATCAGCTTCCCACTGATGTTAGTCTGTGTGTGGTGCCTTGATTTGTTCCTTTAAATCTGCTTCATCTCTGAATACCGTTTCCTCACAGAAGCTCCTTCATTTGGACTATCAGAGATTTAATAAGATGGTGTTTCTAGAAGAAACAGAGTAGTAGTATGTAACTTATGTGAATTGGGAAATCATTTGTGTTATATCTTTGTGCATGACTGACCTCATTAATAAACTGCCAAAGGTGATGTTAGAACTGTGGGCCTAGTAACCCCAGCGGAGCACTGGAAGGACTAGGAGGAAAGTTCTCCTAATGGGGAACTCCTGGCGAGATGCCCTGCCAGCCTCTCTGCTTCTATAACTTCTCCCCCACATGTTTTTTTTTCTCTAAGTCTGGCCATTATATAGGGAAAAAATAAATATGTGAAAAAATGAATTCTTACAGGTGTAAGAATTTTTTTAATATCATATTTTTTCTAATAATGTAAAAATTATGCTTCAGATTCTTGATAGTTGTAGTTGATCTTTACTTAGCCATAGTCCTCCCCTTTGGCTTAGTTTCTTTGTCCCAGTTTTTCTGAGAAGCCGTTAATGATTTTTAAGTAGTTAATGTGCCCCATTACTGGTAACACAGTGCCCTAAGGCACTTGACTGCTAACCAGAAGGCTGGTGGTTCAAGCCCACCAGCCACTCCTCCGAAGGAAGGTCGGGCAATCTACTTCCATAGTGATGCTGCCTCGGAAACTAATGTGCCCCAAGAGTTTACTACTAAAGATGATTGCCTTATCAGGACAACAAATTGTTTCATAAAATCAGTGATTGCTCTCTCGTTTATCTAAGGTAATTGTGTGTGTGTGTGTGTTTAAAAAAGCAGATTCATTTGTACATTGGTGAGGAGTATCCGATGTCAAGTGCCACGTCTCTGGTAAATGCAAAGACCTGGAGCCAGATTGCTCGGGTTCAAGTCCAGTTACTGGTTGTGTAAATTTTTGCCAGTTACCCTCTCTGGGGGAGCTCTGGTGGTGCAGTGCCTAAAGCATTTGACTGCTAACCAGAAGGCTGGTGGTTCAAACCC